TCTCTATATAAACGCTGGTTTATCAAGAAGACGCAAGAAAAGCACTTCGAATTGTTGATTAATCGCCAGATGGCTTAGAACCAGAGAGAGAGAGAGAGAGAGAGAGAGAGAGAGAGTTAAAAGAAATTGATAACAATAAATAACTTCTTTTATATGGATTAAGGACCGTCGGTGTAATTTCTCCAACCGTCAACATGTCAAGGATGGTCCTTATAAAAGTTTTACAGATGGGATGGAAAATGTAAAATTGACCAAACAATATGGACCATTTCTGTATTTACTAAAAGATATGTTGCTGTTATACCATTTTTAGAATTAGGAATATATTTAAGATATAATATTTCTTGGATTTTGTACAAAATTATTGGTTATGATACGTTATAACAGTTATTGGGTAGTACTTAACTTACCGACGGTGGCCGTCTCGTACGTTGTCATTCCAAGCTGACCGACATTCAAGGAACCTGTAATGACCGTTTTACCCATACCCTCCCCTATCAACACCACATTCCTCTTTGCTAAAGGGACGCGAACAGTTTCCTCATAAACGCCCTCCTTGATCAATATCACGAAACGCCGGCCTCCACCCAGGTTATCCGGCGCTGCATTCACCGCCATCTGCACGCTCCCAAACCTACACCTGCCACCGTCTTTGCACACGGTTACATTTGCCTTTAAACCCGTAGGAATCCCGGGTTTTTGATCCGACCCAGATCTACCACCGACGCTCTCCCAAAACCCGTCTCTCTCTGTCCTCGGGGACCGCCACCACCCACTGCAGTTTCCAAACTCCTCATACGACATCATCATGCTCAGTGCATTACTCGTGGACATCATCAACGTGTTGTTCATGAACGACAACGTTTTATCCACCATTGGTGTGTCGTTCACCTTCTTTAACCCAGACAAGCAGTCGAACTGGTAACTTAGCGCGGCACTCGTCCAAGCACGCGCATCTTTGATTCTATTACATGGCAAAACCTCCTCCGCCGAGTGCAGACGGTATGCCGAGTTGTCCAGGCTCTGGAGGCAGAGCTTGGCGGTGGTGGTGAGGTTAAGATTACTGCCGGAGTAGTGAAGGATAGCGCGGACCATGAACTTAGCTCTTCCGAGGTTCTTAGAAGAGAGGGACAACGCAGAGTGTAGGATTTGAAAAGGGCTGGGATCTGCTGGGATGAGATCTAGATCGGATTTCGTGAGAGAAATTTGACATGATTCCGGCCACCTTGTGGCCTTGCAAGCTTCTTGGATGGCGGTCTGGTGGTTGGCGGTGGTGCCGATGAAGAAGCAGAAGAGGAAAAGGAAGGAGGAAGCCATAGTTTTAAGAACTGTCTGGTCAGGATCACGAGATGGATGGGATGGGTTTTAATTTGTGAAACTTGGTTGGTGGCAGAGGAAACAAAGTTCACGTGGAAGAATTTTCAAAAATGCAAGAAAACATTGTAATAGTTTTTTGTTATAATTTTTAGGGAAAGCCAAAAAATCCAATGTGTCAATGCTTAAATCTATGATAATGAATTTTTGAGACGTGGCATTATTATAGAGGCTCAAAATTTTATTTTCTCGTTCATGCCATTAATATTAAAATTTACCAATCTATCCTTTCCTTGTCATCCTTTTTTTTATACCGACGATAAGAAATTAGCAACTAATCATCTCCATGTGTCGAAACCTTAATAATATCACCACCACCAAATCTAACATCTGCAGTCATCATCCTTCACTCGTGGGGCACAGCTTCAACATATGATTTAGGGCCAAAAATATAATATGTATAAAAATCGGTGAGCAGGGGGGCCACCGTTAAAATTTTATATTTTTTTGTCTAATATGTATAAAATTAAAATATACGGACTATTTGTAACAAAAAAAATCAAGGGGGCCACAGCCCCCCCTCCCCCATTTGCCCTAATAAAGTGTCGTCCATGCTTCACCCCACAATTAACTTAACTTCACCACCATTCACAGCTCTCTCTCTCTCTCTCTCTCTCTCTCTCTCTCTCTCTCTCTCTCTCTCTCCGTTGATGATCCTGGGAACAACACCGGTTCGATATTATTAAAGAGATCAACTTTTAGACACTATTCAAGATTCAAAGCATGTATTTTTTATATGGTTTTACTTTCTTTTGATGGTTGTTTTAGCTTCCGTTTTTTCTCTTTTAGTGTTTTGAATGAAACTTCTAAATCTTTTGAGATTCATTAAAACTATTTAATGGCATGTTAATCTCGGATTTGCACATCCTTTATTTGTCAGGGATACGTGGTCTCACAAATAAGATAGTGAACCAACCATGCAAAAACATGTAACTCCTTGATTATGTTATGGCTCTCAATTTACGTGCCGATTAACCACACATGTTACGCCAATAAACCACAAACACAAATGCCACATCATCTTCTTCTTACATCTCAAGTTTATTTGTTGGTTAACAACATACACTCTGTAAATAGACACTAAGGAATAATGTGCACTTTTCATGAGTTAGCAAGGATTCACATTTCCTAAAATAACTAAGAACGAGAATTCTGATTTAGTACTTTACATGTTATACTTTTAACGAGACATTCCTATAAAACCCTTTCGGCTAATGACAATCAACCATGCAAAGAAGCGGTGAGTGAAAATGATACTCATTCAGCGGTCATTTTATATGTTTTTCCTTATACCTCTGTTATAACATGATTTCATGAAAGAGACATACTCTTGATTCGACTAACGTTCATTAATTAAACATGTGGGGATACATGTTGTATTATTCTTTTACATATAGTAATCGTATTATGTATATAAATTCTTTTGGTTTTACATATATTATTTGTAAACTTTTACAACTATAAGTAAGGTGAATATTAAATAATTAAAAATTATATAATTTAAATTTTTTATCTTTAATTAACTTTTAGTTGATTAATTTTAAATCATTGTCTACAATTTCAAATTACTTAGGCATATTTATCCTCTTAGTTTAATTATTTAGTTTTATCATATTAAAATAATATTTAAAACTAACATAAACTCTAAATTTGAAATTATAGAAAATTTCCCGAAACCCTAAAAATCAGCACAGGGCGCGCCACGTTTAGAACTGGGCACGCCGTACCTGCGATTAACAAGTATATTTTCAATTTTTTTAATATTTTTTCAATTTAGTGTTTATAACTAAAACTTAATGGATCGCATTCCACTGTTGTGTTTTCTACGCGATTATACACTAATTTTAGGCAACATAAGCATTCAAATAAAATCCTAAGTGTACTTGCATCTTAGATCTAGGTTTTACTATTACAACAACATACTTTTAAAACATGAATATAAATTAATCAAAAGGGATAAGAATACCAACATTTAGGACAAAATTGTATTTTCCCTTGTAGATTTCGAACTCAGTTGTTGCTCTTGGAAGAACTAGCACCCGAAGTATGAATGACTCTAATGGCTCACACTCAAAAAGTCTAAAACCCTAGAATATTTTAGGAAATAGGAGAGAGGCTAGTGAGATCCGAAAATGTAAACCTTATGCGAGGTTCGATCAAAAACCTTAAAGACCAGAGGGTTCCATATATAACCGAGGTAGCTTGCAGACAAAGCAAAATTTGAATAAATTAAATAATAAGATTTAATCCATATTCAACTCATTTTCTTATTTGTTAGCTGTATTGATTCTGAAAGGCTCCGAGACCTCCTCAAAACTGTCCAACCTCTTATGGTTTCTAGAATGCTCTTCTTGCTCAATTATTGAACAATTAACATGCAGTCCCTACACTTATAATCAATTCCTGATTATTTCTAATTAATTCCAATAAATTCCAAATTAATTCAAATTAATTCTAAATTAATTTCAACAAGTTTTTAATTAATTTATTAACTTTTAATAAATTAATAAAATATTTTCCTCACTCTCTTAATTTCTGTTCTAGTTATTTTAGATCTTGAGGGCAACCCAAATGGACTTTGTTATTATTCCCAAAGTTATGCCAATTAGTTATGACATTTGACACCTACTTCCAACAGTTTCTAACATCATATTGGGAACATTTATTCCTAGCCTTTGGAAGGAACTAGAAAGCTTAGTAGTATTTCATATGTTTCATCAGGTGAAGCAGATATTCCTAAGATGACTGTTATTTGGTTTGAGCCAATTCAAACATATGAAGAATACAAGGCTGAAGAAAGCTATCGTGTGTTCTCTAATAGGCCCAAAGTTCTTGGAAATAATACCTTTAGGCCCAAGAAATACATAAAGACCCGTAGAGATGGATCTTGTTTCTATTGTAGAGTAACTAGACACCAGAAAAGGAATTGTTCCTCTTATCTAAGTAGGACTGGACAGACCAGTCATTCAAGTATCTACTGTTGGGTTTTATTTAAAAATAGTCTAATTGTATATTCAAAACTATGAGATAGCAGCAAAAGCATTTTAAGATTTGCATAAACTTCAAACCATTTTAACCCACCAATGATCATTTTGCAAAGCATGGAAAGATCAAATCAACCATAGAAAGAAAAATTGCAACCTTTGAAGTCTTTAATTCTTGTGGGAGATGGAAGTTGATGAAACTATGCATGAAGCTCTAAAGGAGAAGCTCTCTAGAGGTATCCACCAAGCAAGAGTAAACCACTAAAACTAATTAGGATTCACTTGTATTAATTTGTTTTTAAGCCTTAATAACTAATACCAAATTAGTCTTAAGGAGAAGCAACTTATAAACCCTTAAACTCTATAGTACACAAGGCAAGATAGGAGAAGGGAGAGCACCAAATTGTTCTCGGTTTTGGCAGCCAAAGAAAGGGAGAAAAGAACCAAACTTTTACTAGT